TCTTCGAGGAGGTGAGGGAACCGGGCACATGTACAACGTGAGGGACAGGGATGGGACAGGTCAGCGTCTTGGTCATAAAATCACAGATTGGTTCGGGTTGGAAGGGACCTTGAAGATCATCTAGTTCCAACCCCCACGCCACGGGCAGGGATACCTTCCACAAGACAGTTTTCTGGGAATTTCTCTGCTGCCTCATTCCCTGCTCTGCTCTGGGAGGCAGGTGGGTCCCTCACCGTGCAAGCTGCAGGAGCTGACACTCAGTGCAGTGGTAAACCTGCCTGGCAGCCTGGGCACACTGAAGCCACAGTCAAAACCCCCCCTACCTCAGATTGTCACTGTGGCCGATGCCTGGTGAGGCAGGAGTGGGCAATGGGGGGTGCAGGGATGGGGTGGCCTGGGAAGAGTGTCCACCTCTCCAGTACTATCCCCATCCTCACCTCCCTGGAGCCTGTGACAGCCCGGCTGTACTGTGCCAGTGGGTGGTTCCCACCTGCCCCTTACTCGATCCCAATGCCAGTGTGCTTCCTGGGGAAAGGTGGAGAAGGCTGGGGGGCAAGAGGAGCAGCAGCCGGTTTGGGGGTGGTGAGTCAAAGCTTTAGGGCGCAGCTTTGCCGTGAGCCAGATGACTCCCTGGCCTGGGTGGTCTCTTCTCCCCAAATACCTCTGTACCTCCCCATGTCCTGTCTCACTCCACAGCTTGCCAGCTCAGGGACCCCAGTAGGCACAAGCATCCTTCTCTCCCCAGGGTGATGCTGCTCTGGCTTCTTTAGCAACTGACTTGTGCTGCTGGAGGGGCTCTCTGGTCTGCCTGACCAGCGGGAAAGTAACTTCCCACCACAGCTGCTTTTTGCCATGCCCGTGGACTTGGACACCTCACAGGGGACCCAAGGAGCCACCAGATGTGGGAAAGCGTGGCTGGGAATGAGTTGTCATCTCTTCCTGCTCCATTTGTTTGCAGCTCTTTCGTTGGCCTCACTATGGGAAGCTCATCATGGGTGAAATGCTGTCCATTAAAGTTTACAACTGCAGCAAGGTTTTCAGTAACAGGTGGGTCCTTTGGTTCTTGGGATGACCAGTAGAGATGGGGGAGGAGACATACTGGGCATTACATTGTTTACTGGGAATAGAAAATGTTGATTGAAAGTTTAATAGAAAGAAGATGAGCAAGATGCAGGTTATAGAGCAGGGAGGGAACTGGTTGTTCTGAGGGGGCTGTATATATTAAGTTAAATAAGGGGAATGATTTAGTTGTGCCAGCAGTAACAAGAACTACCTAAGGATCCAGATCCAACTCTCAGCTGAGAAAAAATAATAGAGCTACGAGAGCAGGACTTGCAGCAGACTGGGGACCTGTTCTCACCCTGAACATCCACATGGTGGCTGTGACCATGCTGTACCCAAATTCAGCATATCGGCCCATGGGCAAAAG